TGCCACAAAGCTTTTGCAGCTGTTGCAGTGCAGAGCAGTCTGTCTTTTCTCTGCTGCTCTTGAGCAGTTATTTTCTATGTTATTCAGTGGGTGCTTAATCACATACAGGCAATTTACAGCCGGGAAATGGGGTGTTATGTTCTAGTAGCTCATTTGTGTGCCAGCTGTTAGATGTACAAAGCATCTCTTCCATAGAAATAATTTTATAAAGGATGAATTACATTTCTAGGGTGATACTCAGAAGTCTGTTTGATGCACATAATAGCAAAGATGTAATGCTGCCATGCAGATCACAGGGTGTTAGGACGAAAAGCTGGAAGTTGGGGATGGCTCCATCAGTAAACTCTTTGCCATGCAAGCATGAAGGCCTGAGTTCAGTTCCCTAAATCTTACTATATGTGCCAGTGTACAGAGTCCAGACACTGACGCACGAACAGTTCCAGAAAAGTCCTCACAGCCACCAGTTTCCAGGTCCCAGTCCGGAATCAAGTTGGCTAGAGAGATTTTTCTTGGCCTGTCAGAAATGAGAACCCCCTTGGACTAGAGAGTTCTTACAATGGAAATATCTCTCAACCTCCTATAAGTAATTTTCCCTAGGGAACAGGCATCCTGACAGTCACATCTTTCCAGGCAAGTGTCTCTGCCTTTATATTGTAAATCATAAACAAAAGAAAATCTACACCTTGATACATCTTTATTATCTACCTTCACTACTAGTTACTAGAAATATGATTTTCCTGTTAGAAGAAAAGAATCCAAAATCACTAAAGAACCCTCCAAATGACAGGAATACAAATCTTCCTGTCTAGAGACACATTCCAGCGGCTTCCAAAGAACCCCCTAATGACAAGAAAGCAAAATATACCAGGTTTCTCTCAGACCTCTTTATAAGTGGGTGCCAAAAACACAAAAGAGCAACCACCTCTTCTAAAAATAGTTTCAAGAAACCTTGTAACTCTCACTAATTGGAAGAGCCAAATGACAAATGAAAATTAGGCACGATCATCAAGAATTATTTTAATGAAAGTATATAAACCTTGTACTCTTCAAACATGAGCAGATGACTCTCACAAGCCAAAATCCTATTCCTTTTACCACTGAGCCATGGTTTATAAACAGCCAACACCAAGAATTGGGAGACACCCGGGATCTCAGATATGACCCTGCAGCCACTGAAATGTGCCCAGCTTCTAACTGTGGGTCATGTGATGTGCATGCTAAAATGGAGCCCAGCAATTTGGGAGAAGGGTCGGTTAGAAAAGTGCTTACCACACACACAGGAGGACCTGATTTTGGATCCTCGAGACACACAAAAACCTGGATATGATGGTGTACTTGTAATCCTAGCACTGGTGAAGGGGAGGGCACAGACAGGAAGATCTTGGGGCTTTCTCTATAATCAGTGTAGCCAAATCAGTGAGTTCCAGTTTGAATGAGAGATGCTGTCTCAAAAACCAAGGTGGAAAATGATTGAAGATGACACCAGACATGGACCACTGGCCTTGACAAGCATGCACGCGCTCACGCACACACATACACACACACACACACACACACACACACACACACACACACACGCACACACACACACACACACCATAGAGAGAGAAAAAATAATTTTTAAAAAGCTGATCCCATATTACATGATGCTGATACTTTATAGAAAAGCCAGTACTGTTGCTTATAGATCTAAATTAAGTGAAAACAGTAACCATTTTGAAGAAAACCTAAATACCATCATCTTTTATTGTTCCAGGTGGTTTACAGCCTTAGATTAAGGATAAATAAGTAACAATATAAGGTGTTATCAAATCAAGAGGTTCTGTCTATTATATATTTGGGTGGTTTTCAGAGTGTGTATCTGCCTTCTCTCTTCTAGACCAAATAGTATGAGTCCTAATATCTTGATGCTTTTAACCAGGTAGTGGATATGAACCATCTAATCATTTGTTGAATACAGACTACAGCAGTCATCCTGTTGGAAAAGAATTTCCTAGATGCTCGTATTAAAAACTCATACCAGTGGCAACATGAACCACTGTCAAGGACCTGGCCACAATCAGTAGCACAGACCACAAACAGCAACACAAACCACAAACATGGCCTCAGGCAGCAGCACAGAGCATGAACATCAACATGACCTCTGGTGCACAGAGCACAGATTCTAACATGGCCTCTGGTGGTAACACAGACCGCAGATATCAACATGCCCTCAGCAATGCTGGGCTGCTGCCTAAGACCATGTTGCTGTTCATGGTCCATGTTACCACAGATAACATGTGGATGTCCATTGTCAATGCTGCCATCAAGGGCCATGTTGGTGTCTGTGATCTGTGCTATCACCAGAAACCATGTGGAAGTCCATGATCACTGCTGCCTTTGGCTGTTATGGGCAAGAAAGCTTCTTTTGCAGTGGTGCCAATGACTGCAGACTCATAATTGAGAATGAGAGACATTGAAGGCTTTGGTGGCAAACACCCCCCCTCAATAGAAACAGTCTATACAGGAGTACATTGAAAAGAGTCCTTTAAAAGTTGACAGCTGCTGAAGTGAAGATCTTCACAGTTGATGACTTCTATAGGGGTAGGGTGGGGAAGGACTCAGTTATCTTTAAGGGGCTGGCCACTGGGAGCTTGACCATACTTCAATGAGTATATGGGCAACACAAATTGATCTTGGTGTATGTTTTTTTCTTTTTGGGAGAAGGGCACAAGGGTGGGAGAGTGGACCTTGGGAGAATGGGAATCAAGTGTGATCAGGGTGCATTGTATGAAATTCCCAAGCAAATAATAAAAATATTCTGTTGGAGAAAATAATGCTCATCCCATCTGAAATGTGGACTTTTTCCTTTCCATAGCACCACTATTATTCTCTACTCTTGTTCTAATGTTTTTTCATTCATACTATTAGGGATTTTCATGTGTTACTTGAAATTAGTCCAAACTTATGGGAAAATAAATCCATATATTATATTTAAAAAAAGGATTTTTAAAGTTATAGGGTTACTTTGGTATTGACTGGGTATCATGAAGACTGAACTTGTTTTTTTTTTAAAGTTATGGATGAGCTGAAAAGTAAACATTCAGTTACATGGTATTTGGGTGGCAATTTTATATATTTTACTTCTGATTTAAATGGAGTCATATGTGTTGGAGTATGTTTTGATTAAAACTTCAGGTGTCTTAAGTTGTCTTGGGCAAGTGACACCATGGAGAGCCTTTAACTATGTAAGTGTTCTCTCCCTGAGTGTATAAGGTAACAGATTACAAAGTAATATCTCATGTCCAACTTGTGTTCAAGAAAATATATGTAATTAATTGTCTTACATTGGTATTTATTTACTCAGGAATGATGCTATTTCTCCGAAACTAAAATAACACTAGGTAAAAGCATTTATTTAAATGGTCTCTATTGAGCTACTATAGCCTGAAAGCCTTTTTTGTTTGTTTGTTTGTGTGCTTGTAAATGAAGTTATCATGAATATGTTTGATGGCGAAGCTTCCATCTTATTTAGGGAAACTTACTGAGTATGTTGGCACATGCCTGTAACCCCAGCACTAAAGAATCATGGCTTAAGTTAAGTGCTCCTTGAGACCAGCTTGGTCTACATAACAAAATCTTTTCTCAAACAAGCTAGCAGAAAAAAAAAAGAAAACATTTGGGAAGATGACTCCAGGATAAAACACTTGCCTGACAAGCATCAGAACCTAGGTTTAAATATCCATAATCCACATAAATCTCCGTATAATAGCACAAATCTATGATCACAGCAACAGGAGAGACAGAGATGGAGAAATCCCAAGAAGCTCGAAGGGCCAGCTAGGCTGACAGGCACAACAAATAACAGACCCTGTCTCAAATAAGGTGAAAGGTGGGGGCAGACACAATGAAGTTGTCCTCTGACTTCCACACATGCGCGCACACACGCGCGCGCACACACACACACTGCTTTGTGACTTAAAGGGAATCATGAACAAAACATAGTCACCACATATAGGGAACCAACAACAGGCTAAAATAAAGACAGTACTGAAGTTCAGTTCGATAAACCAAGAAGTTCATTGTAGTTACTAATTAAAGTACCAATGAGAGATTACTCACAGCAGAAGGGATGGCTCAAAAGCAGCTGCATCACAGAAAGCCCACCCTAACATCGATGACAGTTCAGGAATGCTGGAACCCTGGAAATGACTGCAAACTTGCAGTCAGCTCAACAACTTCACAGTAGCTAACCCAGTCCAGGTCTCCTCAGCAGTCCCTCCTATTCATATATCACTGGGTGAGAGGGCCTTGTACATCTATCTGGTCAATTTCAAGGTTTTTCTGAGTGATTTACTGCCTGAGTCTCAATGAGCCTCCTTTTAGAACTTGCTGAGTCTTGTGGAGTTGGAGAAATAATAGTGACAGCATGCACAGTACCTCAAGCCAGACGAATTCCCAGCATGGTGGGGAGAGATGGGCAATTTCTATTGGCAATTGATAGCTGCCTGGAGATGGAGAGTCAGTATTCTTTAAGGGTACAGCCCTAGCATGTCACTCACACTCAAGTGGATGGCTACATACCCAAGAGTGTATGGGCAGCTCAGATTGGAGTTGAGGAAATTTGAAAATAGGAGGGCTCAAAGTTGAGTGGGTAGGAAATAGGAGATGGATCTGGGAGGAGTTGGGGGAGGAAGGTGGATATGGTCAAAATAGATTGTATGAAATTCTTAAAGAATTAATTTTTGAAAAAAGTTTAACTTTTTTAAGAGTGCTTGCTCTTTCAAAGGACCAGAGGTTCAGTTACCACATTGGAAGCTGGATGTTTCACCACTGCCTATAATTGTGTTTGCTATTGCTGTGGTTTTCCACATTTACTACTATTCTAGTGTTAGGAGCTTTTAAAGGGGTAACGGTTGTTCTATATGTTCAGAAGTATGATGTAGATTTGTGGCTAAGAACAGATAATTGTCATTTGACTTTTTCCATTTTCTTCATTTTTCCTGTAATTTCTGGTGCAGATGAAATTGGACTCCATAGACATCTAGAATCCTCTGACACTGAAGACGAATACCATGAGGAGAATGACATACAGAGACCAAGCTTCAGAGAGCGAGCCATTGCCCCTATGCATCATTGGGGGAGAGGTAAAGTATATTTTAAAAAAGGACACATGGTAAAAAAAACTAACATGCAGCTTCTAGAACTTCCAGTGTTCTAATGTTGTGTTGTATTACATGCTTCATTTCTCTCAGACATGGGCTTGTGCAGGGTTGGGAAGAATTTATTCCGGGTCAGATGAAAGAAATGATTAATTGGTGAGTTACATTTCTAATGGAGAGCAGGGTGAGAAATTTAGCGGATCAATAACCTAACCACTATAACAACCACATGTTGTTATAAAGGAATGTCACTTGGTAAAGAGAATGAAGTAGAATGTGAAGAATGTCTCCTCTAGCCCTAACGTCATTGTTTGCAACAGTGACGATATTTTAATAAGAACACACTATACAGATTGTCATTGTAAAGAAGTATTTCCAACAATTAAGGGTCTCTGATCTACTCAACAGTTTAACACCATCTTAACATGGTGCACATTACAAGCCTCTGCAAGCTTACCCAAATTTATTGCAGCCTTCATATGAATCTTTAGTGGTTCAGCCTCTAATGAGAAACAGAGAGAACAGTTATTGTAGGGGCAATACAGCTAAGACAGGTTAAAAAGTCTATTCTCGTGTATTTCCCAATAAAATACAAAACTGATCTTTAAAGCTTTTCAGAGATTTTTTATTATTATTTTAATTAATTTATTTTTCTGAGATAGGGTCTTATGTACTACAGGCTAGTTTCTCATTCATGGTGAAACCAAGGATAACCTTAAACTTCTGATTTTCCTGCCTCTACCTGTCAAGTGCCAGGACTACAGATACGTGTCAGCACACTGAGTTTTTTGTTGTGTTGGAGATCAAACTCAGGGGTTTTGTGTGTTCTAGGATGGCAATCTGCCCACTGAGCTACATGCCCAGATCATATTTTCTAAGTATTTCCTAAGCTATCTCTATACCCAAAGCAAAGTAGATAATGAGGCAAATATTGATAGGATTAATTAAAAACATCATTTTTCCCATCTCTCCTTTTTTATGCTGGCATATTATTTTAATTGATTCCAGATATGTCTCAACCTTTGTACCATATACAACCAAACCTTAAATACTGTGTAAAATGAAGATTGCCCCTTCCAAGTAGTAAGTATAGATAGGATGGCAAAAGCTGTTTTAGAATTCAGTAAGACAATTGGACACTGTCAGAATGATGAAAGAGGAGATGTTTTCCATATCAAAGCCAAGCTTCTAAAAACTGATTCTGAAAGTTACTGAATTCAGTAATGAAAATACAGAAAATAATTTTTGTCAAAATAATATACAGGATTCAGAGGTGGCCATAGGGGAAGAAACGGGAATTTTTTTGGACAAAGACTTTCAGAAAATCAGCCTTCACATCATCTGGTAAGTGAACACCAAATGTTAATAGAAATCAAGAGTCTAAAATGTAACTTTGTTCGTTTTTTACTCTGTGTGTGTGTGTGTGTGTGTGTGTGTGTGTGTGTGTGTGTGTTTTGAGACAAGGTCTTGCTGTATAAGACAAACTACTATATTATTTAATACTATGTAGCCTAAGATGGCCAAGAACTTTAGATGTTTCTCCTGCCTCAGTCTTCCAGAGTGCTGGGACTATGCTCATGTTGACTGTCTTAGTTACTTTTCTCTTCCTGTGACAAAACACCATGATCAAAGTAACTTATAAAGGAAAGAGTTTCTTGGAGCTCATGGTTCCAGAGGGTTAGTATCCATGATCATCATGGTGGGGAGTGTGACAGCAGAGAGACAAGCATGACATTGGAGCCCTAGTTGAGAGTTTTCATTTGATCCACAAGCATGAGGTAGAGGGAGAGTTCTAACTGGAAACGGCATGGGCTTTTATAATCTCAAAGCCACCCCAAGTGACACATCTTCAACAAGGCAGTGCCTCCTAATTCTTTCTCTGGTGGTTTCAGTGAAAGTGACCCCCATAAGCTCATAGCGAGGGGCACTATTAGTATGTGTGGCCTTGTTGGAGGAAGTTTGTCATGCGACAGGCTTTCAGGTTTCAGATACTCACGCGAGGCCCAGCCTCACTCTCCCTGCTGCCTGCCAAACTAGATATAGAACTCCGTGCTCCTTCTACCAGCACCATGTCTGCTTGTGCGCCACCTTGCTCCCCACCATGATGACAGTGCTAAACCTCTGAACTGTAAGCCAACCCCCAATTACATGCTTTCTTTTATGAGAATTGCTGTGATTATGGTGTCTCTTCACAGTAATAGAAACCCTAACCAGACACTTCCCAAGCAGTTGCAATAACTGGGGATCAAACATTCAAATATATGAACCTATGGGGTTCACTCTCATTCTAAACACCATACTCAGCTAACATTTTGTAATAATAAGAATAATTCTCAATTCTGTTGAAAACAGAGATTTCTTCTTAGGTTTTTCCATGCTAGTATGTATTTAATTTAAATTTGGTATTTTTGGCTAACTTATTGTCCCTGAAACTATTACAATAAACATTTTATTTTTATTTTCAATCATTATCAGGAATTTTGAATTTATATAAAAAATAGATTGTTGGTGACTGTGTCATTTATCCTCCATAATCTCATTTTTGTCCTCATACAACCTTTGATCTTAAGTTATAGTGTAAAAATATTTTAATAGCCTTAAAAATTAGTTATACAAACCAGAAATTAATACTAGAGTGATGTCTTTGTGCTTAAGAGCCCTTGCTGCCTTTCCAGAGAACCCAAGTTCAGTCCTCAGCAGCAACATCCGGTGGCTGACAACATCCTATAACTCCACCTCCAGGGGCTGCGGCCCTTCTTCAAGCCTCTCTGGGAACCCACACATATGTGGCCTCAGCCTTTCAAGTGCTGGGATTATGGGCATGAGCTACTGCACCTAGTCTATATAATTATTTTCGATAGGTTTGTGCTTGCAAATAGGAATAGAAAATGGTAAAGGTGCTTGCTACACAAGCCTAGCCAACCCAGTTGGACCTCTGGGACCCTTGTAGAAGTGGAAGAAAGAAGTAGCCTCATGCAAAGTTGGTTTCTGACTTCCACATGTGCACCATGGCATACACACACACACACACACACACACATACACACACACACACACCATGGACACATACACACAACTCTCTCTATATATATAAGGTTAATATATATATTAAACTTTTAAAATTATTTATTTCTTAAGTATTTACTTTTTTCTTAATGGTATTTATTTCTTAAATTTAGGAATCTTATAGTACCTAACTTGATGTAAATAATTTCTTAGGGATATAACAGATGGGAACCACAGCCCTGCTCATACTTAGCGTGTACTGTACCACTGAGCTACAACCCCAGCCCAGAAAATATTCCTTATATAAACATTTAGGAAAATATTGGAAACTTTGTTAAAAGGGTCTTCAGGAGATGTGCCTCAATCCTGTCTTTCATGATGACCCACTGTTCTCCCAATGCTAGTCACTTAAAATGAAAAAGTTAACATGGATATTCTACCTAATATACTTACTCATGTTTTCAATAGAAATACTGGAGAATGGTTATGGATTTAGCCTATAGCAAGTCAGCTGATCTTTCATACTTTTATTTTAGTCAGGTTGTGTACACATAATATTCTTTGTGCTAATACCTTCCTCAGATTTAGCAGTTACTTCCAGCATTTAGCAGTATGTAGCAGGACATGGTAATGCCAAAAATACGGGATGCTTTTTTTGCTAAACCACATATACTAGTTTAAAGCTTGCTTTCTTAGCACAGTCCATATGACTAATCATTTACACTTACGGACATCATAGACATTTGTCAAAGTTTTCCTTATTTCCTTTTTGATGATTCACTATACAGAACTTTTGGTTTAAAAACTGAAAGGATAGAAAAGCTGAATTGTTACCAGATCAATTTATTTGAACTGCATCAAGCCAACACTTTGCTTCCTCTATACCATACTTTCCACTTGATTGTTTTTCTTCTTAGAATTAAGTTTTTTTATTGAAAGATAGTTTTTTTTTTAATGACCACTGGGCAGGGAAATAATCAACAGAATAATTTGGAGTGCTTTTCTTTGATCTAAAGAAGTTGTGTTACAAAACATTATTAAATACTCTATCACTCTTGGGGCTGTGGAAGTAGTTCAATTGGTAAAGTACTCGCCTTAGCATGCATAAAGATCTGGGTTCAATCCTCAGTACCACATAATACCAGTTGTTGCACTTGAAGTGGAAGGAGGAGTTTCAGAAGTTCAAGGTTACACTTGGATACATAGTGAGTTTCTGTCCAGCATAAGATCCTGGACCACCCGGAGCCCCTCCCCAAAGAAAAAAACTCTCTCCTCAATTATAAAGTCACATAGTTTGATTGTTTCATTATTTGTTGTTTGTTTGTTTGTTTGTTTTCAAGACAGGGTTTCTATGTGTAGTTTCAGTGCCGGTCCTGGATCTCACTCTGTAAACGAGGCTGACTTCAAACTCAGAGGCCTGGCTCTGCCTCCCAAGTGCTGGGATTAAAAGCGTGCACCACCACCACCTGGCATGATTGTTTCATTATTGAAACTCATGGGACAGCTAATTTTTCATATTTTTATGTTAACATTGTATTACCGTCTTTGTGCAAGTGACATGGTACATCAGACTTAGGTCTTTAAGTTGCCATCTGGAAACTAGTATATAAAAGGTAGTCATAGTATAATTCTAAGAGAAAGTCACTGATAGAAATGGTTTTGAGAAGCTGGGTGTACTGGCACAAGCTTATTCAAGCATTCATGAGAATCTCAACTTCCAGGCTAACCTATAATATATAGTGAGACCCTATCTCAAAAGAGAGGAAGGGATGGGGGAATGGAAGGAGAAAGGAAGGAGGGAAGGAAGGGTTTTAAAATATCCTTATGACTTAATCAAATCATGGACTATCTGTCTCATTTGCATTATGCAATTGGACTCCTTTGTAGATGAGGCATGATAACAGTGAAGATCGATCAGAGTGGAATGGAAACCAATCAGAAGAGAGACAGTCACCAATAGAAGGAAATCAAGTTTCCTTCAGGAGAGTTCATAGCCACTCCCAATCTCGGGGCCGCCATATTATCAGATCTCATGGCCCCCACTCCAGAAGATCTCATAGCCACTTTAGGAGATCTCCTGTCTACTCAGATAGATCTCTTCATGACCATGCAGATAGACCACATCATGACCATTCAGGTAGACCACATCATGACTACCCAGATAGACCACATCATGACCACCGAGATAGACCACATCATGACCACCGAGATAGACCACATCATGACCACTCAGATAGACCACATCATGACTACTTAGAGAGACTACATCATGACCACCCAGATAGACTACATCATGACCACCCAGATAGACTACATCATGGCCACCCAGATAGACCACATCCTGGCCACCCAGATAGACTACATCATGACCACCCAGATAGACTACATTATGATCACTCCAATAGACCACATCATGACCATTCGGGTAGACTACATTATGACCACCCAGATAGACCAGATCTTGACTACCCAGATAGACTACATCATGACCACCCAGATAGACTATATCATGACCATGCAGATAGACCACATCGTGACTACTCAGGTAGACCACATCATGACTATTCAGGTAGATCACATCATGATCACCCAGACAGACCTCATCATGATCACCCAGACAGACCTCATCATGATCACCCAGGCAGACCTCATCATGATCACCCAGGCAGACCTCATCATGATCACCCAGGCAGACCATATCATGACCACCCAGACAGACCACATCATGACCACCCAGGTAGGCCACATCATGACCACCCAGGTAGACCACATCATGACCACCCAGGTAGACCACATCGTGACCACCCAGGTAGACCACATCATGACCACCCAGATAGACCACATCATGACCATTCAGGTAGGTTTCATCATGACCACTCAGGTAGGTTTCATCTTGGCCACACAGAGAGAGCTCATCTTAGCCATGCAGAGTTAGGTCACCATGACCACAGAGGAAGAGCTCATCTTAACCACACAGGGATAGCTCATCACGACCATGCTAGGAGAGCTAATGATGGCCATGGAGGGAGAGCTCATAACAACCATACATGGAGATCTCGCAGTCATGAAGAGAGATATCGTGGTCAAGCAGAAAGATTTGGAAGAATCCAATCATCACCAGAATCTGAACCTGAAATTGACAGGTAAAAGCAAAATTAGTACTTTATCAATGTTAGTACAATGTTGTGAATAATAAGGAAATGTATAAGCATGCTTTCTATTTCTGTATCTTAATAACAAAGTATGTGTTTTCCTAATTCAGAAATTGTTCCAATTCAGAGTGTTCTAATTATGTGGCTCATGATATCAACTGACATGCACATGCAGTTACCCAAGTTTGTTTCCCAGTTTCTGACCTTTCCTATGAGGCCTATCCAATAACCAAAGTATGATCACTTAGTATCTAGTTCTTTTGCATCTTCCAAACTGGTAGGCAAGGTAATGTACTGACAAACTGTGCTAAATCAATAAGATATAACTAATGGTAATGAATTTGTTTCCTTCCTTTATATTCTTCCTAAGGAGTCCTACAAGTCTTTAGCAGATAAATAATCTCAATCAATCTCTCTCCCCCCTCTCTCTTCTTTATGTGTATGTCTGTCTGTCTCTGTCTCTGTCTCTGTCTGTCTCTCTCTCTCTCTCTCATTGCTGTTAGAAATCATGCCCAAGGCCTTTTGCATGTTAGAAAGTGATTTACTTCTGAACCACAACCTCAGCCCAGCAGATGTATCTTTGAGTAGATCATTTCCTCCCAAACCACTGTCTGAAGTGTGTGCTATCTTCAATATAGGGTCTTACCTGCAAGGTATGCAAGGCAAACAAGGGCAACAGCACTAGCCTGTGTTGTTTTAGGAGTCTCTTCTCCCAAGACCAACAATTGAAAGGGAGGTTTCCCATGCCTAGCACTGGGATTTTGTTAGGTTGTCTATGATCCTTGTGGGGAGCATTGGGACTTAGAATGACATAACTTCATTCAAACTACATATGTATGTTTAAACACATGTCTGTGTGTATTGTAAATACTTTAAGTAAACAAAAACTACTGTTTTCCTATGACTTTGTTAAACATTCTTAGTGTTAACTATTGTTCCATCCTTCTTCCTCTGTGTTTCCTGCCCACATTCCAGGTAAATGCCTAACCTATTTTCTCATATTTCCTTTCACAGCACCAGTGTCCTACTCTACACCTCTCTAGAGCACCTAACTCCTCCCACAATGGCCCCTTTGTACTTTCCTAGTTCCCGAGGTTATTCCAGGTTATATATTCTCCTCGAAGAATTCAGAGGATCCACAAAAAAAGAGAGAATATGCAGCATTCATCTTTCTGGGTCTGGGTTACTTCACTTGGTATATTTCCTAATTCTATCCATTTACTTGCAGGTTTCTTAGATGTAGCATATAGCTAATAACTGATTATTCTACATTTCAGTAAAGAGAATTCATTTGTAATGTTCTCCTTAAAAATGTTACATAGGGGGCCATAGAGATAGTTTAGCAGTTAGAGCACTTGATGTACCAGCACCCACATGACAAACCAGGTGTCCTACACAAACCTGTAGCCAGTTGCTGAAATGGGCAAAGACAAGACTGGTCGCTGGGGCATGCTGGCTTCCAGACTAGTCAAGAGAATGTCAGCCCCAATATCAGGGAAAGACCTGACTGAAAACATAGGTGGAAAGTGATTGTGGAGAAAGAACACTTGGTGCCGCCTTCTGGCATCTCCATGTGTATACAGGAACATGTATCAACACATCCGCATACTCTGACAGAGAGGCACACATACATAAAATTAAGTAAATCATTCACAATTGTTAAATAATCTGTCAATGATATGTTGTAGTGAAAATTATTTTTCTGAATTCTCACCCTTTATGATGAATTCCAGATTCTCTACAATAAGAGAAACGACTGAATACTTACTAGCTCAGGAACAGCAGAGAAATGAGCTAATTAATCTGAATGAAGGGGTAAGTGCAATGCATTCTACTTTCTACCCCCCAAATTTTATGTATCATGTTCATTTAACTAGGCTTTCCTTTTGTGTCTTTTTTGCTTCTTTGAAAATGTGGCTTTTATTTGCATTAATGATTATTTTCATGAGTTTAAAAACAAGATAGCAATATGAATGTACAAAGAAGCCATATATTATGTTATATATGCTTACAAAAATTGTTTTCAGTCTTATAATTGCTTGAAAGTTTTCTTCTTGGGCCGGGCATGGTATCAGACACCTAAGATCCCAGTATTCGGGCAGTTCATTCAGAGAGAGCTTACATTCAAGACAGTCCTATGCTACAAAGCAAGACCCTGTCAGAAACGAAGGATGAGGAGCATAGCTCAGTCAGAAGAGGGTTTTTACCTAGCATGGACCAGACACTGCTTTCCATCACCTACTCTGCAGAAACTCAAATGTGGTAGCACACACCGGTAATTTGAGCCTTTCATTCCCCTTCTCCTTACCTCCGCACACTAAGTGCTGTACTGTGGTTACAAGTAGGTGCCATCATGGCCAGTGTCGGGTCCTCCTCCCCCACTCCCACCGCTACCACTGACTAGGACCTCTGTTAGACAGTCTATTTTGTGGTGGGTTGATCAGAGCCAGTTAATATTTCTATGAAGTGGTTATTTATGCTTCCTTCTGTTTCACTGACTACACATAAATATAACCTTTCATCACTTACAAAGTAATTATAAGAACAAGAGACATAAGTTGGTGGTTTTAAAGCATCTAATTTTATCAAAAATCAGAAAACTCCAAAATGGTATAGAAATGACACTTAATAAAATGAAATGACTGTTATAGCACAGTTTTCCACCTTAGTTAGTTGTTACAAAGACCATCAATGTCTCAAATTTGTCAAATATACAGATTTTGAGACAGTCCTGTTGCTTTTCTTTGTAACTCTGATACTACCCAGGCTTCAGATAAACAATGTTTGAATCCAGGTCACATCAAGATCTAAGAGGATTTCTCTGGATCACTACTATAAAGCCTTGGGGAAGACACTTGATTCTTCTCAACTGCAGTTTTCCAACATAAAAAAAAAGGCTTAGACTGATTTATCTCTAAGGGCACACTGCCTTTGACATTATTGCATCTGTATACAATATCAGAAATTGGGTGTGACACTTATGAGGTCAGCAAGAATGAAAGACAGACAAGGGACTGAGTGACTGCATAACAGCACAGGCTATATTTGGGAAAAGACATGTAATAGGGAGATCTCTAGTTCAAGAAACTGAAAAGCCTGTGGTGTTCTTCGTACTTACAGAGTGAGAAAACTTTCCTTTGGGCCTGATGGTGATCATAGCTAAGAGTTAGCAGTCAGTGTTCAGTTAAAGAATGTCAGAGGATCAATATCACTTGGCTAGCCATTACTCGGGGGTGGAAAACATAGGGTAGGCAAGAATCTAGGGAAGCAATTTACTTTAGTTCTAGGAGTTTAGTCACTTTAGTTTGGCAATTGTCATGGTTAACCAAGATGGGGAAACTGTACAAGATGGCCAAGGCCAGAGCTAACAATGTTAAGAATGAAGCAAAGGGAATATTGTCATGGAAATGCTAATAGATGCAATTTAGATTAAAAAACAAAACACCTTGTGCTGAGTAAGGATGTCATTTCAATAATTTGTTTCAACTTTCTCCATTTAGATGATAGAAGAAGACTACAGCAGCTCTGAAGAAAGCGATGAAAGTTCTGACAGGTGAGACAAACTTTGTACAATCTTAAGAGGAAAATAGGAAAACTGGCATTGACTATAACATCCAGGCCAGAGCCTTACAATCTGACGTTGAAAACTAACACTTTGTGTCAATAATCCCAGTCAGAATCAGAAAAGCTTTAAGTAAATCTTCCTGGCTTGGTTTTATTTTTACTTCTGAGACTTGTCTATATTATATTCTGTTGATATATGTTCAGTATCATAATTTTGCATCTAAACTAGCTGTCTCTCTCTACAGGAATTGTCACTGGAGAAATCAGAATGATTAAGATTGTTTCATAATTTCAGGTTTAAAATTGGAACCTCGTGTGTAATAACAGGGTCTGCTAGACAAGCTAGATGAATCTCAACATCCCATTTTAGCAGCAGTCATAGCAAGACTTAGCCTGTGATGGGATCAGGGAGGCAAGAATTCTGTGTTCCTTTATGCCTTCTTAGATCTTTGTTGCTATGGACCTCTGTAAGAAAAACAGGTTGAAATGCAAACATAAGAAAAAGAAGTTTCTGGCCATGACTACTTGCTATACAGGTGGGAGGTAGTGAGGTTTCCTACCACAAGAGCAGACTTGAACATGGTCTATTAGATTCTGTACTTAAATATCATCCTCCCTGAAACAAAGATCTGGGGGAAGGTCTGTTCAGGAAGATGGTCAGGAAAAGAATGGAAAACAAGAGCTGCATTTGTTGCTTATCCTTCTCTTTGTAGGGTAAGAAGGAGAAACCCTTATAAATGGAGATTACCTTTGGAGATGTACATTTCTCTCATAAAAGGGTGACTTTTACATTTTCATTTGGTTTCCACAGCTGCCCATGTGTCTTGTGTTTCTCAAAAGGATTAGCTCAGCATTAGTGGTTACAGAAAAGAGGCTAATTATGGAGAGTATATTTTGGCCTCTTTCAGTGGAATTTAGGAGCTGGCCTCTTAAAGTGGTATTTGGGGATGGCTGTCTAAAACTCATTCAGTGATACTAGGAGAATTTATGCAAATAGAGGAGAAAAATGTTGCTATACTACCTTTGAAATGGATATAACCTAGGTAACTTATGAAATAATTGAAAGCTGTAAGTACTTTTATATCCATAATTTAATTTAGCCCTAAAATTCCTTTCTGATAAGGTATTAGCATTTCCATATTACAGAATGATAGATTAAAACTGAAGAAGGACTGGTGGTTCTTTTTTCTGGCACTACTGGGGATCAAACCTAAGATCATGTGCACACACAAAATAAAAAGATTTACCACTGTGCCATGGGTCTCCACTCCAGCCAAAGAAGATGTTTTTTGTTTTTTTTTGTTTTTTTTTGTTTTGTTTTTTAACTTCCCCAAATCATACAACTAATAAAAAGTATGAAGGAACATTCAAATACAGTTTGTGTTTCTACAAAACCTATGGGACTGGGCAGTGGTGGCACACACCTATAATTCCAACACTAGGGAGGCAGAGGCAAGTGGATCTCTGTTAGTTCAAGGCCAGCCTGGTCTACTGAGTGAGTTGCAGGACAACCAGAGCAATACAGATTGCCTTTCCACAACTACAAGTGCAGAGGAGGTTTAATTCTTACAATGCTAGAATTCTTACAGTGAAAGAAGGACATTCACCTTCTTTCACTGTTTAAACAATTACTGTGACTGTAGGCGGTGGATTCAGTCTTGGTGAGCATGAAAAGGATAACCACAACCAGGGAACTAGAGTGGAAAGAGGTTTATTACTTGAACAAGTAGGTGGTATGGGACGTACTGGGCTGTCTTCAGGAGTGTGGAATCTTTCTCAGTTCTTGGTGAGCTTAGCTTGGTAAACTCAAGAGCCACCAAAGCCAATGACTTTCTAGTTCTTGTCTTGTAAATTTGAAGAGTGAAGTTCACGGGCCACAGAGAGCAAGTTTTAGGAAGAAGTATTTTGTTAGAGCCAGCATAAAAGAAAGAAGGCATAGTTCCTGTAGAGGAAGAGCACGTCTCCAGGCACAGGGACTGTCAAGGTGCTACTCTGGGAATATTTTTAAGAACTTAGAACAGAAACTGGTGTGAGGTATAAGGATGGAAATATGCTGGTCAGTCCAGTGTATCATCCAATAGGAAATGTCTAGGCACCTCCTCTCTGTCACAGTCACTTCCTCTTCCAGATCTTCTATTCAAGACCAAGAGGAAATAAGAAACCAGAAAGCAGAACTCTGTCCTGATGTTCTTGGCCTCCAAAAAGGACATTCTCAGGACTGCTGCTTTGGAGCCTAACACATTATACGACATGCTCAATCAGAGATCATAATATCATATGTTACAAAACAAAACACTGCCAACTGCCCCTAGGTGGAGAATTTAGTACAATAAGTAAGGTCAACTGAACTGAATGAGTCATACACTAAAAGTTTCTCTAGGAGTTTCGGCTAAAACGTTAGCTCAACAAACAGATTTGAAAGCTGAGGACATTTAAAAAGCCATTCAGAAGATCAGTAGCCCTTTCATGACCACCACCACATATGCTTGGGAATTTGCACCAAAATGTGCCTACCTTTACCACACACAGCAACTTAGAACAGAACACATCCATCATCTCCCAGTTTGGTCAGTCAGATGTCCAGGTTTGCTAGTCTGCTAGAGATTCCCTTACCTGGAATCATGGTACTACCCTGGGTGCCCTCTTATTAGAAGGTTCTGGGGAGGTGCCTACTTCCAAGATCATTCTAGTGGTTGGCAGAATCTAGTTGCTTGCTGCTTGTAAGCCAGAGTGCATTCTTCAAAAACAAAACCTGAACTACCTCCCTCCTCTCTTGGAAGATACCAGTTCCATCTTCAACACAACCCACACACACATTTCAACCCAAATCACATCCTTCTCACTGTTGATCATCCTGATTTCCACTTTTCACCTTGTTCTATGATTGCATTAGGCTCAGCCAGGTACATGTTGTTAAAGGAAAAAAAAAAAGAAAAAGGGAAAAGCTAGAGAAAATGCAACAACAATTTTATGAGGAAACTTAACATCGAAGGACTCAGTAGAGTGCTTGCCTGGAATTATATAGCCATGAGTTTGATGCCTAACACTGCGAAAGGAAGGAAGGGAAGCAAGGAAGTAGGGAGAGAGAGATGTACAAAGGAAGGCAGGAAGGAAACTATTATATATCTTAGTTATTCATTGAACTCTAATTTCCCCCCAAAACAGTATTTGGTCCACTCAAAGCCTAATAGGAACAATATATCAAGACAAAAAGTTGTTATAGAAAGCACCTTATTTATATAGAACTACTGACTATAAAATCTCAAGTAATAATATCAAGACAACTACACAGCCGTTGGACATTGGTTGTGTTATGGTAAAGTGCAAGTACATATGAAGAACCTCTCCCTGATACTACTTTAGCTACCTATTAAAAATTCCTCCTTGGACTGGGGGCGTAGTTCAGTTGGTAGACTGCTTGTCTAACATGTCTTGATTCATTCTGCAGAAGGGCATAATGCAGGTTTATTGGCCGATGTGTGTAGTCCCAACACTCAGGAAGTAGAGGCAAGAGTTTACCAAGTTCAAGGTCAACTTCAACTGTATGATGAAATTGAAGTCAGCCTAGGATACATGAAATGCTGTCTCAAAAAAATTTTTTTTCTGTGCTGTTTACTGACACAAAAAGCTACTGTAAGGGAAAACATAAACCTGATACACTAGCAGCCATGCATGAAGCCCTTTATGGAATACACCTTTGTAGCATGGTACAACAAATGTCATGGGAATCCAGGCTGCCCTTAAACTCAAGATCTCTTGCCTCAAACTCTTGATTTAGGGGATTCTAGGTATGCGCTACCACATTGTTTTCCATTATTGTTTCTTTCTTGTGTGGGAGACACCAAAGGCTTAATGCCATGGGGTGGCTTCCATTTTTTATATAACCAGGCTACCCTTAAACTTGAGATCCTCCTGTTTCAGTCTCCTGGTTTGGGGGATTCTAGATTTGTGCAACCACTTTGACTTTTCATTCACTGTTTCATTTGGGGTTTTTATGGTGCAGAGAATGGAACTCGGGGCTTCACACAGGCTAATGAAGTGTTCTGCAACCTTAGCCTCCCAGCTAACATTTTTGTAACTTTTTTATTTTTGTAAGGACCATTTTATGAGTTAGAAAAGACTCAGTGACAGGGCAGACAAGTTGTAAATCTCGCCAGCTGCCAGGAGGAGAGAGATGGAGAAGAAGAAAAGAGGAAGCTGTATCTTGTGACATAAGGTCCAAGAAAGCAAGCCTATTTATTAGCTTCTTGGGAAAGAGTAGGATTCATACTGTCCGAACAGGCTTAGGATTTTAGCCACTATATGAAAGTGATAGAAACAGGGAAAGGGAATTTACACTTTTAAAGTTGGGACTCACAAGTAGATAGGCTTAGTGGTACAGATAGCAAGCAGCTGCTTTCTTTGAATTTTTTGAGACACTCTCATACAGCCAAGGCTGGCCTCAAATTCTCATGTTGCCAAGGATGTTCATGAACTCCTGGTCATTTTGCCTCTACCTACTGAGTGCTAGGATTATAGGCACAGCTTCTAAAAATTTTACTGAGCTATAGGTTTTCTACTATGTAGTTAAACTACACAGTTCTTTGCCTTTTAGTTGACTAAGAGATGTGCAGTCCTCGTCATAGTCTGATTTTAGAACATTTTGACCATCATTCCCCAAAATATACTCTTTGAGTCATTCTTCATTCAGACCATTCCTTCCCCATGTTCTCCCATCCTAGTCAGTCCAATGCAATCACAAATCCATTTTCTTCCTATGGAAGTTGTGGTTATTTTTCTTGCAAATATACTGTAATTAAAGAAGAGTAAAACTGTATTCTTATCTAGCAGGTGAAAACTCATCTAAAGATGTGAAGGAAATTAATAATAATACCTACGGTTAAGAGTATAGTTCAGTGGTAAAACACATACCTTCTTCTTTTAAACCTCTAGAAATGAGATCTACAGATACTAAGTTGAAGGCCCCAAACTTGCTCATCTGATCAGTGGCTACTATATCTACTTATTTATTATTATGCTTTAATTGACAGTTTATGGAGACCTGAAGTTGATGCGGAATTCCTGAATGGTAGATACACTACAATTAAGACTATTACACGTTTTCCTAAAGGAGTAAGACTGAACTTCAATGTCGCAGCACGGACTAATCGGGTACTTATGATGTACTTGCCCAATGGTTTGCTCATCAGATGTTAAGAAAGCCATGTTTATTTTAGGTCAACTTGAAATATATAAGATTATCTTTTACATATAGGAAAAATGTGAATCTCTTAATACACAAGAAATATTTTCCTGTCCTCTGACTTTGGGAAAGACAGAAAAGTTGGGAAAATAGCTAAATAAGCCAACCTCAGTTATTTATTTTTATGTGTATTTATGTCTTGTCTGTCTGCCTCCCACCCCACGCCACCCCACCCCCACTGCGCATGCACGTTTGTAGAGCAGATAAGGGGTGCCTGATCTTCTGGAGCTGGAGCTACATACACTAGTGAGTCACCTGATTTGGATGCTGAGAAATAAGTTCAGGTCCTAACTGCTGAGGCATCTCTCCAGACTTGCAAACAAACCTCAGTCATAGCATGGATTAGCCCACACTCCTATACACTTAGTCCTGTGGCTCAATACGATTCTCATAAAGGAAACATCCATGTTTACCAGGCTATGTAGTAAAGCAAAAAAGCAAACTAATAGATGTTTAAAGACTTTTATAAGGGACTGAAACTAAAATAATTTTCTGCCATTCTTCACTTAGCAATGAGATGAAATAATCAAAGTACATTATTCTATCTGTGTTCTGATTATATTTTTCATAGAAGTATGTAACTCATAAATAAGGCATGGTAGTATGGGAATCAAGAGATCCAAGAGATCAAGGACATCCTGAACTACATATCAAGACTCTGTCTTAGAAAAACAAAGAAAAGAAAAAGTGTGTGTGTGTGTGTGTGTGTGTGTGTGTGTGTGTGTGTGTGTTTCATAAGTGGGAAACAGATAACACACAAACTATCTCTATCTCAGAACAATAATAACCCTGTTTCTGAATTAGGTTTAGGGATAATATTGAAAAGAGTATGTCTGAAAAATGGGGAAAGAGACTTGGACTTTGTGGCCATGTATATAAGATGAAACTGGAATTATGTCTGACTTGGCAATATTTGAGGTACTCTAGTCAGCTGTAGACCAGTAAGAACAATAAGAAGTTGCTTGTACCTAGGACTGCTCTCACAGAATAGATTTGAAACCCTGGACTATAAGGCAGACATTTGAATTCCAGCATATAAAAATAAGCCTGCCCTTCATTCTGCTATGAAAATGTATTGCTACTTGGTCTGTGGTATGCTCTTTCATTAAAGCTCTTTGATTCTGCTGTTCAGCATGGATGGTCTGAATAGAGACCTCAGGTGTAGACCAAGCATCAGACACACTACACATAATTCTAGTCTCAAGGAGAGCTCATGCACATTCTTCAAACACATATAGATTTCATACCCCTCTCAGAGTCTTCTCAACCCCAGGCTACTGCTTGTAGCTGGAGTACTCCTGTATATACCCAGCTCCTGCAGCTGCTCAGACTTACATTTCTTATAAACTGTATGGCCATGGCATGCTTCTTGTTATCTAGTTCTTATATTTTAAATGAACCCATTTCTAGTAATCTATAAGTTGCCATGTGGCTTGTGGCTTACCAGTACTTTTACATCTTGCTTCCTCTGTGTCTGGCTGGCAACTCCTGACTCAGCCTTCCTGTTCCCAAAATTCTCCTCTCTCTGTCCCGCCTACACTTCCTGCCTGGCTACTAGCCAATCAGCACTTTCTTTATTTACCAATCAGAGCAACACATACCCAGCATATGGAGTAATACCCACAGCACTTCCCCTTTATTTTCAAAAGGAAGGTTTTAACTTGAACATAGTAAAATTGCATAACAAAACAATTATCAAGCAAAAATTACAGTTACAATATCTAGTCTATTTGTATTTGGCAAAATTAAAGAAGATATCCTGTCCTATATTTGTGAGTATAAGGTTTCATATCTATCTTACCTTTTACCATAACTAAGGAGATTATAACTATCTAGTTTTCAACTACATCAAAGACCTCAGAAGGATATAATATCACCTGAGAAATGGTAGAAGGACACAAGCAACTTTCTGGAGTCTTGTGAGAATAGACAGACAGCTGGCAGCCTGGACAGTCATCTAAAGTCCCTCTGTAAAGTCGGGGTGTCGAGTCTCTTCAGTCACTTCTCTGTGTCCTATAGAATGTCTGGCAGTTTTCTCTGTGAAGCAGGAACCTAAAGGACCATTTTGCCATGCAAAGTAGAATGTCTGGCAGTTTTCTCTGTGAAGCAGGAACCTAAAGGACCATTTTGCCATGCAAAGTTCAGTGGTCACCTTCCTATGAGTCCTGCATTTCCAGTTGATCAAGCAGTCCAGGAAAGAACAGTTTCTTGCCCGAATGGCTATTTTTGCCAAGAAGAAGATAAACTCCATATAGAGTGTCTTTGATGCCCATCCTCCTCTCTGAAATAAATCAGTGCTGCCAGGAGCAGACATGTCTCATTGTCCAGAAAGTCTAAATTTTAAACATTTTAAATGCCATATTCTGTAGGTCTTTGAAGTATTTGAAATATATCTATGTATACCTAGAAGACTTAACATGGTTATAAGTTTGACTATCATAGAAGATTAATTATTAATCTGTATTTTTAAATTATCAATTACAATCTAAAATTATCCATTACAATCTAGATGAGATACATAAACATAATAACTCAAATGAGAGTAGAAATATATATACAGCATAACAAGTTTAAATTTAAACTTGTATCGATAAACTAAAATCCATAGCAATGTAAAACATTTCTAAACAAATTGTTGCTCTTTAAAAATAGCTTCATTAATCTACCCTTTTATCCTATCATATATATGCTATCCCCTTTTCTTCCTTAGAAAGAGATTGCATTTATAATCAACCTGCTTTAAATAAAAATAATTGGTTTTTCTCTATCCCACACCAGAGGGCTCTTCTGATATGGGACAGAATAATCTCTCAACCTTTTTTTTCTTTTTTAGCAGTATGCTTGGGTTTAGAGAAGGAGTGAGCCAATTCCATCTCCAATGCCAGCTTGGTATACTTGGGAATTTGGGAGTAGCTTCTCTTACTACTTCCTGCTGGAGGGGGGTGCTGTATTTTTATGGGGACATAAAGAAAATTTTAGGATTATGGAGTAGTCCCCCCTGAGGCTGTATTGTCTGAGCCAGTTGCCTTGAAATCGCTCTGGATGTTGGATCATCTGGGTCATGGTGTCATCGGAGACCTTTCAGGTGGGTCTTGGCTGGTCAAACCTGATGTATCTTAATCTGGAACAAATCCATAGCCTCTTGCTTTCTGTAGAAACAAAAGCAGAGCCTCCTTTCCAAAGCAACATATCCTTATATCCAAATTTTGAAGTTAAGGTACCTTTAATATATACGTATTGGTTTATCTGAGCAGCCTTTACAATCAAATATCTTTCTGCAATTAAAAAATCCCAAAGACAACACAATCCAGATTCTCTGTGTGATATCCATCTTTACATGGCTTATTTTTATATTACTTTTACTTTCTCTTTAAAGACATTATTTTAAAAAACTATTTCTTTATATAACTACATTTATTTCTTTGTCTTTATTCCAAGCATTTGTACATTTTTACATACAATATAAACCATTTAGAGGTTTATCCCATCTGAATCTGTCTTGTTGTGAATCTATTGCTTTAAACTGCAGTATTTTCTGCCCACCTCAGCTTCCCAACATGGTGATGGTATGTTTACCACCAATTCTGGGTCTGGAAGACATGTGTACCATCAACTCTCAGAAGCAGTTGGTCTATGCTTTTATCAAAGTAGCGTGTAGCCCAGAAACCTGTTTTTTTTTTTTAGTAGCAAAAGCTATATCTACCATGCACCATGTTGCGCAGCTTGTAGAAACCTCTGTGTAACTTGGCAAGAATGTGCCATGGTGTAGCTTTAGTCTGCATGCTGCAAACCACCATAGAGTAGCTCAAGCCGGCATGTTGCAGCATCTCGACAACCACATGAGATATGAAGCAGGAACCTGTTTTTGGCTGCATTTAGAATTGGTTATTAAGTATTCCCAGGTTTAAGGTAGAAACTCGAGCCATTAGGCACTATTTGGAGCTGGAGTTTTCCTGTGTCTACCTGGCTCCTGCAGCTGCTCAGACCCAGGTAAATACACAGAGACTTATATTACTTATAAACTGTATGACCATGGCAGGCTTCTTGCTATCTAGTTCTTATATCTTAAATGAACCCATTTCTATTAATCTATACTTTGCCACGTGGTTTGTGGCTTACCGGTACTTTTACATCTTGCTTCCTCTGTGTCTGGCTGGCAACTCCTGACTCAGCCTTCCTGTTCCCAAAATTCTCCTCTCTCTTTATTCCACCTATACTTCCTGCCTGGCTACTGGCCAATCAGCACTTCATTTATTAAAGCAACACATACACAGTATACAGAGTGATATCCACAGCAGCTTTTTTGCCCTTTGACATTTTTCTGGTACAGAGAATTGAGGTACCAGGGCTTCACACATACAAGGCAAGAGCTCTGTCACTGAACCATATACCCTGTCCTCTCACTATTTTAGTGTCTCACTGTGTAGACCAGATTAGCCTGGCACTCACTATGTAGATTTGGCTGGCCTTGAATACATAGGAATCTGCTTACTCTGGCTTTCCTGAGTGCTAAGATCAAAATCATGTCATTATGCCTGGAAGCATTTTTTTTATTTCAAGGCAGGATCTCACTAAAATTGCCCAAGCTGACCTTGAACTCTCTCTGTAGCCCAAACAGACTTCAAACTTCCAATCCTGCTGCCTTCCCCTTCCATGTTGCTGGGGCTATAGGCATGTACCAACAGTCCTAGATGCCTACGTTTGTCTGTCTTCCTCTCTCTCTGTCTGTCCATCTGTCTCACAGGTAGCCTAGGCTGACTTCTAACTCAGTATTGTAGCTGAGAATGACTTTGAATTTCTGGCCTTCCTGCCTCCAAGGGCTGGAATTACAGGTGTGTGCCACCACAACTGGCTCCCTAGTCTAATAACCAAATTCAAGAGTATTTTATTAAACTGCTAAGCTCCCAAACTGAAAGCTTTTTGTCTTTTTCACAGACTAATCTGACCCTCCATACTAGATTCACCATCCTGAGGAGTTTGAGACGTGCCAGAATGAACAATATGAACAATAGACCCAGAAGACAGGAAGACTGAACTGTCATTTACTATCAAGGGTTTGCTGATAATTGCACTGAACCATACTTAGGAGCATAAATATATTCTTAGAATGTTGAACTTAGGACTGTTGTTATTAAAGTAGGTATTCGGTAGGTTTTGATGTCAAGATTCAGTTGATACTAAGCAATTGGAAGAAAAACTGTTTAGCACTGTTTGCATAAATGAACAAGGATATGAGCGAGAAGAAAGCTGGCTTAAGTGGCTTAACTGGGGTTATTTTAGGAAAACAGCTATTTTTAGAAATATATGTTGTGTTTTCAGTGTTAGAGAAAACTGTAATTTACTGTACTCCTTAAGCTCTGGAACCTGGACAAGTGATAAGAAAGTTCTGTCCACAAAAATTAATCCCTGTGAGTGACTTTAACAATTGTTAAAATAGTAAACTTTTATACTTTTTATAGAAATTTATAGTGTAACAAGATGAAATTTACTTTTTTACTTTTGTAAGAATTCTAAATGTAGTGTCTTTTGTTGGTTTTGTAAAAACATGACAAATAATAAAGAGTTTGAGCATTGTTATTTATTTATTTATTTATTTATTTATTATTTTTTATTTATTTCAGTGCTAGAACTAGAGTCCAGGGCCTTGGGAGTTTGAGAAAGCTCAGCAGGTAAAGGCACTTGCCAACAAGGCTGATTCACCTGAGATCATCCCCTGGTCTTACATAGTAAAAAGAGAGAACTGACTCATTCAAGTTGTTATCTAACCTCTTCTACATGTATGTACACACACACACACACACACACACACACATGCACACGCACATACACGTGCACACACACACACATGCACACGCACGCATGCACAACTAAAACGTAATAAAATAAGAGCCCAGGACCTTAAGCATAGTAGGCAATGGTCTACTAACATACTATCTCCCCAGCTCAAATAATATTTAAATATAAATGTGATACTTTTCTTGATCATTGATACTTAGAGCCCAAAATAATAATGATCCTAACATGGTGAATCATCAAAGTATGACTTGAACCTCAGCCCCTGTGTCCATCTAAGCTTACAGATATACGTTCCGCAAAGTGCTGCTGTAATTATGTGATATTTCTGTATAAGGCTAGTGTGATGTTCAATCTCATTTGTCAACTTGATGAGGTCTAGAATCAATTGGAAGAGAGCCTCTGAGTATGCCTGTGGGAAATATCATGGTTAGATTAATTGAGGTAGGGAGACCCACCCACTGTGAATGGCACCATTCCCTGGACTTTGGTTTTACTGTGTGAAAAGTAGAAAGAGCTGAAAACGAGCATTCACAGCTGCCTCAAGCATTCATAGAAGCCTCACTGTTGCCCTTATGTACTCATAGCAGCTATTGATTCCTGCGCAAGACCTAAAGCCAGTCAGCATTTCATCATGGAGGGGTTGAAGTGCTCCAGAGTTCTAAACTCTAGCTGAAGAGTCAGATTTCTTTAAAGGCGTGGACCCTGGTAGATTGAACATGTTCTTGGCAAAGGTCCCACACCTTTGAGTATATTACCACAAACAGGAGTCCATTGATGGGCTCCCCCCCCCACCCCCCGTGAGACAAGGTTTCTCTGTGTAACCTTAGCTGTCCTGGAACTCACTCTATAGACAAGGCCTGTCTCTGCCTCCTGAGTGCTGGTATTAAAGGTGTGTGCCACCTCCCTATGGCAATGGACTGTTTTTTTTAAAGAAGACATTAAGCTGGGAGAAGAAAATGGATCTAGGAGAAGTTGGAGTTAGAGCAAATCCGATCTGTGTGTATGTTAAAGGGGTTAGTGGCAGAATGATAAACCTAAAGCAGGTTTCTTCATTCCAAGGGCACTTTTAAGCCACACTAATTAGCCACAGGTCTAAAATATACTCATCTCTGTAATTACTAATATCTACTAACTCATACTCCAGGTCATTTGCTCTGTTAGGGCTTGGGATTTACTAGTAGTAAAACAAATGAGTTTTCATAAATTGTTTTGAAACAGAACTTTATTTAACCCAGGGTGGCCTCAAAGTTGCTGTGTAGCTAGATTTGAACTCTAGCTCTTCTTTCCTCCACCGCTTAAATGTCCTGGGATTAAAGGTGTATGCAAATGTGCCTGACTAAAGAAAACTGTTTATAAAAATCTCTCCATGGTGCTAACATTCAAGGATATCTGTCACTCAGGTTCCTGTTTGCCCCCCTGGGAGCAAATGACTACCTAAGTGGTATTTCTTAATTGTCAAACTGCTTGATGGAGCACCTAGTGAATACAGGCCAGAGAGGCTACTAAAAATGTGCTAGACTATACAGGAGAGTCTTTTCATGGCAAAGAATTATCTGGTCCAAAATGTTGATAGTGACCCACTGTTCAAGAGGAAAAACACAAAGAAGTAAAATACAGAGTATGACATTTATGCATATATCTTACATTTAAAGAGGCCCCTTTGTAAATAATACAAACTCTTCATATGCCTACTAAATTATGAAAAACAGAAATAACAAATGTTCTGTGTTACTACTCATAAATGACTAATGCATGAAGATGCAAAGGGTTTAAATTGAAGGGTTTTTTTTTGCTTCTCTGAGAACTTTTTAATGTAAACACAAAATTTTTGAAGAAATCATTGGAAAAAGTAATAAGACAATCTGTAAATGTATTTTTAAACAGGCTATGAAGTCAGCATAGAAATATATCCTGAGGGCTGACTCACTCACCCACACACCTCTGCTTCACTAGAAAGCCAGATTCAGGCACCCACTTTGGTCAAGAGGACACCTGAGCACATAGGAGCACATTGCAGGCCAAGGACTCAGGCTGGACTTGAAGGAGCCCTGGCCACGAGTGGTGTGAACCTTGGTGGCATGCAGGTCCTCTGCAGCTAAGTCCGATGGCACTGGAGCAGAGAGGGCGGGAGCTGCACAAACACAGCCCCATCTGCAGAGCTGGACGCTGCAGACGAGCTCTGGACCAGGACGGTAGCCCAGCCTCCTACAGTCTTCTCCTGCAGACCTCCCAGTCGCACATGGGGTGTGAGGCTGGGAGGTGTGAGGAGGCGAGTAAGTGCCTCACCACTGTAAGGGTTGTGCTTTCTAAACAGTTCGGTATCCTTCACGATTGGTGTTCCGAATCAGTGTGCCTCCATCAGATCCAACCAAGTGAGGCTGGGACAGAGTGAGCATCCACACACACGGTCAGCAGTCGGCGCAGTTCGCTAGGCTTTGGTGTCCTTCGCATATTCAGTCAGCGTATCAGCATATAGATACGCAGTCACTGGGCCACACAGCCCACATCTTCATACCATCCACAATAGTTTCTTAGGAACTCGGGGCATTGGTGGGGGTTCAGCTGAACATCTGGTCCTTCAGATGCTGCCCAAGAATGGGTTTACAGCCGCAACTATTCCCTTGAGATTAGTAAGCACCAAGTCTTGGTTCCATCATCGACTTGCCTTGAAACTCCACCAGCACCAGTGAACAGGGAGGAGGGCCACGTGAGAGCAGCACATCGCATGAAGTCGGTAGAAATGAGCTAATGACAATCAAGACTTCTCTGACCCTTACACTTCCTAGGTCAGGGTCACCAGAAAGCACTGACAAAAGGCCCTGAGGGCTACAAGACCTGTTCTCAGTGACAACAGCAACCTGTACGTGGCTGCCTAGGGCCTGCCCATTGTCCTTCTCAAGGCAGTGTCTAGCTTAGAAAAAGGGGTTTGGATGTTAATATATTAAGGAATTTAATTTATAGATATTTAAAATTACAGATATCTTACAAAACAGTTCTGTGATGATTCTGCATGCAAGACATAAACAGAAATCAGGCCCGGTGCGAAGTCTTCTCATTATCACTGTCAGCGAGAGCACAGAGCACACCCTAATTAAACTGCACACAAATCTGTAACGCTGACATCGTTTTTAAGGATTTTTCAATCACTCCTATTTCAATATTTCAAAGCTACTGAGACAAGGCCACCATGGTGAAATCTCTGTGGTGTCCTTCAGAGACCAAGGCTATCTGGGCTGGCATGCTGTGTCCACTCATGGTGTTTTCATGGTATGAAACCTCTGTGGCGCTTTATTCTTCGTCACCAATAAAAACCTCAGCACTTGGCCAGAGCCTGGGGTCTGAGAGTCACATGTGAAAGGACAGGACAGGACTCTGCTGCAGGTGTGGCCAGAATCTCTGAGGACAAAGAGCTCTTGGGGTGCAGTTGCTATGACAATCTGTTGCTAGGATAATTCCAAGGATCACAAGCAAAGTGACTACACAAATGAGGACAAACATCACCTTTGCCACCCCGAGGGAGAGGCAAGCACCGAGTGTCATCTATGAAATAATTTGCCAACCCATAAGCGAATGATTAGAGACAAAACAGTGATGACAGCCACCACCACAGCAGCAATTATCCACTTTTTTCCGCCTGGCTTTACTCTGATATTTTATGGCTTTCTTGGTTTCTTCCTTGGCACGTTCGACTTAGTCTACAGCATTCATCACGTTTCTCTTGATGTAGTTGAGCATTTCACCCTGGGTCTCCACAAACATGGCCATATCCATGAACATCTCGTGCAGCTCTTAGATGCTGGTCTCCAGCTTCATGATGTCTTTGTGACGTGACTCGATCTCGTTGAGAGCTTGCCTAGCGATTTGTGAATATGATATAATATCCGAGAGGAAGATAGACGGCTTCCGGCTCTCCAGCATCTCATCCAGCTTATCGTCAGTGGTGGTCCTCCCAGTGATCTCTAGCTGGCGCTGGATTCAGCCTTTGCTTCGCTCCCGAAACAGGATCTGTGCTTCATTGTACTCCTTCATGACCTTCACAAACTTGCCTAACAGCACCGAGTGCTGCAGGTCCACGGAAGTTCAGTTCCCACTCTTGTCCTAATCACAACTCGGCTCAATAGCCTTCAGCTTGCCTCAGATCCGGTTAGCGGTTTTCTTGATCTCTTTGTTCAGGTATTCTAGCTCTTCTTTTATTTTTCCTTCTGGGTTTGGGGCAGAAAGGATGATGCTGTGGTTCTTCTTCACGTCTTCCACGTACGGAGCAATCCTGACTATGCTCCTCCACCTGATGAAATCATCCATGAAATAGTCCCTTTCAG